AATTATTGGGATCGTAGGGAATGTTTGTGTCTGTGTTACAGAGACGCCACGACACACCGAATCAAAACAAACAATTTTTCAGAAGTGTCATACTAATATTTTTATAAAATAGGCGTTTTCTTAACATTTCACGCTGGCCCTAAAGAGACGATCAAATATTAAATAGGATAATTCTGTGGTCATTCCTAAAAATCAAAGATTTTAATAATGGCGTTTATAACATGTTAGTGTAATCTGCATTGTCCTTAAAACATTTACATGATGCTGGAAAGAATATGGCAGACCACGTTTTAGTCACGGTTGGCAAAACGCACCAGTGTTTAGTCTCAACCAATCAGGGCAGGGAAAATCATATTATGAACTACATAATGGTAAATCTGGTTAAATGCTGTCGGTGCCGTTATAATTCCCCCCTGCCCCCTCCGATACCTCACCCAATCGACAGCCGAGCCGATTGAGCCAGCAGTTAGTTTTTGCATTTGCAATGGTAAACTATTCGTTTGAACGACGAGTCGATAATAGTGTTTTCGCGAGGCATATTAGCAATAATTTTGTTATTTGGATATTAACAGACGATTCTGATATTTTTTCTTGCCTTTTGGAAATGGAGAAGTCAAAACATCTCGTATTGCTCTGTCGATGACTGTTCTACGAGTTCGAGTGATTGTGTTCCATTTTTTCGATGTCCCAAGGATCCTGTCAGGTAGGTGTTAATGCATACATTATAAAACATTTATACACACTATTATAAAGGCACTTACGTAATTTTAAGGTAATTATTGAATAATAGCTTAGTTAATAAATAAATCGTATTTTCACTAAATAATATTTACATTAACTAAGGGAATAACTTGCACAAGTCTCGAAAAAATAAATAACCATTTTCAAACATTTTTAATTAATATTGTTATTTTTTATTAGATATTATTGTTAATTATTATTTCTCATATAGTAGTTATTTAATGAATACCTTTTAATGACGAACCGTTTAAATCGTTTTAAAATTACTGAGAAGCTCAGGATAATAAAAGTCGATTGTTATTTGTTTTAGCTCACAGAAATGGAAAGAGAGCTTAGGCTTCATTGGAGAGCATAAATACGCTAAATTAACTTTAGATGAATGTCATAGTCGAATTAGAGTATGTAGTCTTCATTTTGATGAACTGCTTTACAACATCAGGGAAGCGTATATTAAAAACAGCAGTTCCATCGAAAGTTCCCATAAAATTTATTGGTATATCTATGGATAATTATATTTCAAAACTTTAAAATACATACCATAATTTCCTATTTTAGGTGAAATTCCTGGTCCCTCCAATATTTGTAAAGGCCAAAAATCAGGCCTTTCAAACTTATACTCAGTCTTTAGTTGTGGATGCATGTACTCAAACTAAATTTGAGCCATGTAAGTTACTTTATATTTTATCATATACATACTTAATGTATAAAATAAGATCTACTATAGTATACAGAGAAAAAGGAGATAAAATTATTATTAATACCTAGTTTATTATCTTTGTTACAGTAAGTAATCTAATCAATATTCAGCCTACCTTTGTAGAAGCTTTTACTCAGGCCAATATTCACTCATGTAAGCTACTTTATCGCAAGTCTGCAACGGTACCTACATTTTAATCTAATTAGTACTTGAAGAATCAAGACACCTTGTTTATTATTTGTGTTATAATTTTTTTGTAATTTAGTGTCAACAATGTCCACTGAATTGTTTTCCACATCTGAAGTAGCTACGCAAACTCAGACATACCAAGAATTGATGGAAGGAATAAGAAACTTTTTTTAGAATTAAGCTACTTATTTTATATTTCTTCCATTTTTATATTTCATCAGGTGAATTGTGGAACTTATTATTCTTAATGTATACATGTTAAATTTCTTTCGGTCATAAAATCCTCTCTGTGGGCTTCCTTATCAATAAAATTTAAAAAATAAAATAAGAAGTGGTTGTTAAATAATGTTCATCCGTAAAAAATCTAAAACATAATAAAAAAACTACATCAATAGTGACCAACGTTAAAATAATTGCTATGCTTCATTCGTTTGGAATGCAAAGTACAATTTAGACAATAAGGCTACATGTTTTGCATCGAAAAGCTTGATAATGACGGAACAGTGGCGTATCGATTGCTTGGTTTCTTATCTATATACGGACGTATAATAATGACCCCTATAATAAAATAATTTAATATTTCTTAAATGGAATTGCAATTTTTGATTATATTTAAAAATTGTATTACAAAAAATATGTATATAATAAACAAACAATATACATATAATAAAATGTTTATTATAAAAACCCTTAGGTAAAAGAAACAGAACGGGTTGGTCATTGGTTTATGATCCATTAGAATTTTAATTCTAGGTGACCATAATCCCTTTTATTACTTCGCTTTTCAAACGAAGGGAGTATAAATACATTAATAAAGTGAGAATTTAGACAACCCCATCTTTGTTTAGAATTAATTAAAAATGTATTTCCATCAAATACAAGCCACAACCATCTATAATTCTTTTATGCTTATAACAAACATATTTTATACACTTTTTTATTTCATTTTTTCTTAAATTTTGTAGATTTTTCCTGTCAAACTCCGCAATATTTATCGCATAACACCCCAAGAGAACAGAAAAATAGCATAGTTGGAAAATTCTTCTAACAAGTGCGAATGGAATTTTGGCCTTACACATGTACTAAAATTTTTGGAAGAAAATTATTAAAAAGAGTATACAATGTTAATAAGAAATCAGTTATCACTCCTGGATAAGACAAAAAAAGGCGCCAGATTTTCTGACGATTTTATACAATTTGCTCTAATGTTATATTTATTGGGGCCAAAGGCGCATAGAAAATTATCCAAAGTTATCAGACTGCCTTGTGAAGCAACGTTGAGAAGAATTACACAAAAGTGGAAAATTAGTTCTGGCTTTAATGAATTTCATTTTAAAATAATTGAACTGAAAGTTTCAGTTATGAATGAAAAAGGAAAAGATTGCATTTTGTGTATTGACGAAATGTCAATAAAAGCAAATTTATTTTATAATCTTACCAGAGATAGTATAGTTGGTTTTGAAGAAGTACAGGGTAAAAAAACATCATTGCTACTAGTGCACTGGTGCTAATGGCCAGGGGAATATCGCATAACTGGAAAATTCCTATTGCCTATTTTTCCACCAAGAATTCCGCAAGCATTGATGACTTGAAAGAAATAATTTTCGAGACGGTGCGGAAAATGAAATCTCGGTTGGTCTTAACATTTTGGCGGTAACATCCGATCAAGGGCCAAACTTCTATAAACTTGTGACTGTTTACTATTTTGTGTTGTTTATTATTTTACTTTAATTACCTATACTCTTCATTTACATATTTTATGTTATAAAACAGATTTTAAAAGAGTAAATTATTTCAGCTGGAGCAGTGAAGACTAAATGGAGGACTATGAGGGATAGTTTTCGTAAAGAGCTGAATAAAATGCAGGGTCTTTCTGGAGTCGAAGGAGGGAAGAAAACTAAATGGGCATATTTTCCAGCGATGTCCTTTCTGACTGATACTGTCACAAATAGAACCTCTAGTGGAAACATACCAACAACAGATGAAATTATAATACAGTCGCCGGATGATGCAGTTTCAAATCAGTCAGAAGAAGCAATTCTATAATAAATGAACCAGATGGAAACGAAGAAGGAAATGAGAGTGACGGAAGGGAAGAAACAGATATACAAAACCAAAATTTTCGCACCCCAAAAGGAGAAAAAAGAGTAAATGAAAAAAAAATTGCTCACAGACGCCATCACCAGCGACATATGAAAATAATTCAGAACAGTAGAAAATCTTACTCAAAATCAACTAAGCCAACAATCTGATGACACAAATATTCAAGGATTTTTTCACACATTTAACTAAACTTTGTAGAGACACATAATTAATAAATGCTTCTTGGAAAATTTATTATTCTTGAACCTTGTTTATAAAATTTATATCTTGTTTTTAATTAATAAATGCTTACCTTAATGTTATTGTCAACTTTTCTGCGGGTCCAATACATTCCCGAAAATTTGAATATTTTTGAATTCTGGGTTTAATTTTATTTAGGATATAGTCAAATATCGATAGAGACATTCTAAAATATTCAAAAAAATTTACGGGTTGCTGTCTTAATTGATCAAAAAGTTTTACATATTCACTTTCTCTCCTCTTCTTGCATTTAAGTCATTTACCCAACATTTTTTTCTTTTCATAATGAGATATTTTAACATTAGATTCTCAGACAACATCAAAGTAGTGATCTCCATTTTGCCAAACTCGGCACGCAGGACACACTGAAAACGCAACTAATGTAACCACTAAAATCAAAGTCGTACGAGTAAATTCCGTCAGAGCTCGCGCGTACAAAAAAAACGCACGGACCCGCGTCCAATGTAACCGCGGGCTAAAGGTTGATTAATTAACTTGAATCTTTTTTTTTAAACCAATACCTTTTGACAAAATTCATTATTTACCTATCGTGTGATGTCGATATTTGACAGCTACTCCAGTTTTTAGTATATGTAGTAGTTATTCTAATACGGGACTGCGACAGTCGGATGGCCAAGAAGGTTACCAAAGATTTTCACCTGTATTTTTTCCGTGGTTACCTGTGGGTTCTTGTAAATTTACCAGAGGCTGTTGAAGAGGGCCTTAATTGTTGTGGTTTAGGTATGTAGCAGGTAAATGTAAATTGTGTGACGTCAGAGCAGTTTGGTGAAGAACTTTGATAGGTTAAAGGTTATCTCGAAATATTGTGATAAGTTATTATTGTGTACGAGAGGTTACTGGGGTCGGGTTTTATCAGTAAATATTGCGATAAGGATGTTTTTCGCTGTACTGATAGTGCGAGCCAAGCCTAGCCTTGTGAAATATATTTTATAAGAAAAGATAAATTAAATTATAAGCACATTTATTTTTATATTAATATTTTCCATAAATATTACAATATCTAATTTAATGAATATAGTTTTTGCAATAGTTTAATGTTGTAAATTACTGTATTTCTTTCTGTATCTAAATATGAATTTTACTCAACAGTGTACTTATTTGAATAAGAACAATTAAAATAATAATTAACAACAGGATTTTTCTAAACACGTTTATTTTATATTAATTATTCCAATTGCTTAAGTGTTTTATTACCTCCACTTATAATGAGTATTTAGTTTTACAATAATTTAGATATGTAAATATAAATTACAATATTTCTATGAATCTAAAATATAATTTTTAGTGAACAGTGTACTTATTTAAATAACAATTTAAAACAAGATTACTTTAAACACATATATTTTTACAATAATCTTATATGAAAACTGATATGTCTGTAGATCCAAATCTCCACACCTTGTATGAGAAATGTTCTAATATTTGCTATATACCAGTAGATCCGAATGATCCTTCTCCTCTTTCTGTATCACAAATGCTCTGAAAAATATAATATTAATTAAAATTTAAATTTACTTATATAAATGATTTAAAATACCTGTACTTCTTGCACTTCAGGATAGAATATCCTCTCACAAATCAGCTGTGCGATGCGATCACCTCTCTTTATAATAAAATCGTTCTCAGAATGATTAAACAAAACAATTTTAACTATTCCTCTATAGTCTTCATCTACGACTCCTGCTGTAAAATAAATATCTGTTATTAGTTGAGAGGAAATTTTATAATTAAAATAAAATACCTCCAACATCTATGAAATTGTTTATAGCCAGTCCAGATCTGGGTGCAATTCGACCATAACACCCTTTAGGTACTTGAATTTTTAAACCTGTATTTACTATATTTCTGTCTCTTGCTGGTATTATACAGTCATCTATACTTTTTAAATCGAATCCAGCTGATCTAGCTGAACCCTTAACTGGAGCATATGCTGCAGGTGTTGTTCTAACATATTTTAGAACTGTTTGTTTTTCTAGTTTCAATTTCAACATAAGGGGTTAAATAAAAGAAAAAAAATAAATAAAGTAAGTGGATTAATCTAACAATTTATATAACCCCAGGGAAGTGTATCTGTTGTAATATAATTTACAATTCTTTTATCGTCGTATGGAGTTAGAGCAATTTTTTTCTGGTCTATTGTATACACCTCATGTTTTTTACTCCGAATTAATGTTTCTTTGACAGACATACTGCTATTATTAAATATACATTCATAATAATTCTCAAAAGTAATTGTTTTTAGTGATGCACTTGTTATTCCCTTTATCCTTTTAACAATTTTATTTGCATTGTTTTGTAACGTTTTAAATGTATACATTTTAGATTTCAAACCAATAAATTCAACCATTATGTTTCCATTATTTTCATCCTTCATCAAACCTAATACTTTTTTATTTACTAAAGGAATATTAAATTGATTGTTTTCTGGATAGTCAGAGGTATCAAATTTATTTATATCCTCTCTAATATGTTCATATATATTATCAACAAAAAGTGGTATATTAAGGAATCTGTATCGGAATATAATAATTTAGCATTGTTATTAAATTTAGGTTTAATGTAGTTGTAATGAAAATCATAAACTATGGTTTTTGAAATGTCTAAAATACTGAATCCTACATAAATTGGTTTGTTAAATTTAATGTTTATCCTTTTCATTTCTATAATAACCATACTGTCATTGAATATGGCAAGATTATGGAAATTTGGTTTGGAAATGTAAGATTTTTGCACCATATCTACCTTCCCATTGTGTAACTAATTTAACATCTTTATATTTCCTTACATTTTCCATAGTTTTACCAAAAACTGCATTATTCATTAACTTATAAAAATTTTCTCAAAAATCATTTTTACTCTGTTTTCTTAATTGTGTATTTAAATCGATGTAACTTTTTAACCAAGGAGATTGATTAAATTTTAAAATTTTATGAACTTTACTTATTTCTAAACCTAAACTTACTGCTTGTTTTAAATTTGTATAATGAATAATGTAGTTTTTCTTATTAAATAGTGTGGTTAAGAGTTTCATTTGTTTTGACGATTTTATAGGTGATACCATACGCTCTGGACATAGAGGTAAATCTTTGTGAAGATTATGTAATTTTGTGGGATAATCTAAATCAACCTCAAGTATATAACCGATATTAGAATCATTAGGGGTGTTCAATATATTTTCAGAATAAAAATCAATACTTTCGACCCACTGAAAATCGCCAAAAGGTAAGAATTGACTCATGGCTGTACCATATAAGTTATTTACATCAAAATACATAAGGTATGATGATTGTAGGGTAGGGTTATACTCATTTCCCATAAAGATGTTATTTGCTTTCCCATATCGGTTACTACATTGTGATATTCCACCTCTAATACCTCTTTCTATAAACATTAATTTATCAATATCTGTTAATAACTCTAAAGTAATTCCAGATACTTTTAAACAACTGTCGTAGGCTAAACCTGGGGCTGTATAATACTTTAAACATTCCAAATTATATGTTTTTAAACAAACCTTACGAAAATTTTCAAATACATCAGCTAAAAGCAATACATCTGTTTTTAAATATAATTCCATATATTCACAAAGATTTTGAATTTTAAATGTATCCCATACTTTTATAGCATGATCATATTCACATTGTTCTATACCAGATTTTCTTAAATTACTATAGAAACACTCAAGGGCTGGTAATTTTAATTCGTTTAATTTATCCCAACTATCAAGATATTCATACGGAAAAATACCTTTTTCGATACTAACAAAAATTCATCTTCATTTCTACAGAAACTTCTGGTTATAACCTTTTCTGAATTGGTGAGATATGAACTCAATTTATCTAAGCTACTAGCCATAAATCGAAATGAATCGAGAAATCGAAGCTGTACAGATGTATTTTCAATGTATTTAGTAAAAGCTATATATTTTTCTTTATTTACTGGGAGTAAATTTATCATTCCTGGTATTTCTGTTGCTAATGCCCTAATAATAAAGTGACTATCATAACCTGATAAATTGTGAAATATTACTGGGATAACATGATCATTTTTATAATTTATATTGCAGGAGTTGTGAGCACTACCTCTATATTGACCTGTGAAATGACAATGATCCTTTACTTTAATATCATCTTGTACAAATTCTTTTTCACATATATGACATACATTGGAAGAATAAAAATCGAGTAATTGTTGATTTGATAAAGGATGCATAGGAATTGGATTTAAAAAAATATTATTTATTTCCATACTTAGTTGATATAAACGTTTAACAAACCACTCAATACAGTCTTTACCTGTATAGCACTCAAATTTTGAAAGAGAATTATTAAAACTACACAAGAGATAATATGCTATACTACATGGAATATGTTTCTGTACTTTAATTTGAGTAGCAGTATTATTAAAATTTTCACATTTTTCTAAGATACTTTCTAAATCTGCATAAATAACAAACGGAGATTTTTCTTTATTTTTAAACTGAGTAAATGATATAAATTTTTCATCTTCTGAAGGTACTGATATTTTACTTTTATTCATTTTGCGACATATAAAAATATGTCTATTTAATATTTCTTCGGAAAAGAAATGATTTAAACATCTATCGCAGAAATATTTTTTACTTTTCAAGTTACCCATTTGTCTGCACAATAAGCGTGATAAGTCTTTTATTAATGCAAAATGATATATTGGTTTATAATCATTTATGTTTGAACTCATTAATTGATCGTTTTCATCAAAATTAGATTTAATTTTAGTTGGAATAATTAATAAATTAACACTCTTTAAGTATTCAAAATTACTCAAGCAAATAGGAACAATTTCACATTTTTTTTTCTTCCATTCTATACCAAAGACATTTACACAAATACTATTTAAAATTTCAAATTTTGATATATCTTTCAATTTGATAGGAAATTCAATTCCATCATATTTTAATACGCTACTAAAATGTGGATATGAGGATACTCTAGAGGAATTTTTTGTATTTGAACAGGGATAAAAGGCTGCTACAATAGACCAAAGAAAACAATAAGGATCACTATTTTTAATATTAAGCACACCTTTGCTATTCTGGATAAATTTCGGTATTTCAATATATGTTGAAACACCCACAGTAATTGGTACATAATTATTCATATTAACTTTTAATTCTAAAATTTGATAAAGACTCCAACCACTATCTCTCTCCTGAAATTCTTCAAGTTTATTTAAAATATTATCTTTAATGTAATTATTATAAAATAATTTTAAATCTGTATTATTAAAAATAATTCTATTCTTGGTTTGAAAATGTTTAATATCTGTCTCACCAGTTTGTGGTTTTATAAAATTTGCTAAAAAGGTTACATTAACTTTAAGTAAAGAATGTCTAAGTTCTTTTTTAATTTGAAATGCAAAAGATCGAAAAGCTTTATTAAAAAATGCAATAGGGTCCTTAATATTTAAATTAATTATTGCTCCAGTTTTTATACGACCATTGAAACATGATTCTAAATTTTGCCAAATTAAGTTTTGCTTTTTATTTTTTCTTATATTCTTATAAAACCTAAACCTTTCTTTAAAACATTTTAGGATACTATAATTTGATTCTAATTTAGAAAAAGTTTTAACATTTTTTAATTTATTAAGTCGAATATATTTTTTCAGTAGAAAAAGTGTCCTATTTAAAAATTTAATCCACTTACAATAATCATTTTTACTTTTAATTAACTTACCTACTTGTTGAATTTTCAAAACTGTATTTTCAGAAATTTCATTAATTTCTGCAGCGGTACTCATTATAAGTGGAGATAATTGTAAACTGTACTGTACAATAAACAAAAACGATATAAAATTAAATGCACTGCTACCAAAAAAGTTGTTATCTTGTTTACTCTTTCGGTTATTTTCCAAATGAAGGATATTTATTCTGACGCATTATTTGTCTAAAATTTTCTTCGAAATATATTGCAATAACACACTATTTTCCAATTAAATAATTTTTAAATTTGAATCTGTTGAATGTTTATTAGTAACTTGTTATCACATGTTTTTGTTATTCTAATATATGGTAATCAATATGTTTATTGATATCCCATTCAAAGAACGAATGATTCCGTATTATTAATATGTTACTTTGTATATATTTTTTATTACTAATAATCTATCAAAATACATACGTATCAGTATCACATTTTTTCTTCAATTTTACTATATAATATCAAGCTAGCGTGTATTCGATTAACAGTTCACAACAGCAAAATAAGATGTCTACAGTACCGTGCACTATTTTATTAAAAAGTAAAGATGGTCACGCACTTCCATCAAACCATCTGATCACACTTTGCAAACATCTATTTCGGTAAGTTATAAAAGTTATTTGTTAAACTTTATATTTATTTTTTAATTTTGTATAATTTAGATTTGGTAGGAAGACTGTGGAAATGAAAGGGGACCAAGTAGTCCTGAAACTCTCCTACACCCCAAAATCTGAGACGATGGAGAGAAAACTTGGTAACCTACCAATAGCATACATCCGATTGGGTGTAGAAAGTGATGAGGAACTAGATATATTAAAAAAATATATGCAAATTTACGATTTTGATGGGAACGAAACCACAAGTGTGCCAGCAGGAGCCCTAGAGGATGAGGAAGAAGAGGAGAAGAAGCTTGCGATTGAGTCAAGTACATTCAAGGATCCTAAGAAAAGGAAGCATATAAAGATTAGGAAGACTGACGAAAATACAGATGAAAAAAGAAAAAAAATTAAAATATTGGAAAACAGAATAATAACACCTGCATCTGCATCCCCATCATTTACAGCCGTATATGATGAAGATGCGGACATGTACGAAAGCCAAAAATATACTATTGTACAAAATTAATATTTAGTATTGTTGTTTTATATATGTTATATTGTAAAAAAATATTTAAATATTTTATGTATATAGTATCTTATGGTTTTTAGTTTGTAGTAAAGGGATTGTATGAGTATATAGTTAATAAAAGATAGTATTACAATTTTAAGTGTTTTATTAAACATATATTTTACACTAATTTTCAATATTTTGTCTAAAATCTATGAAATATATTATTTTAAATATTTAGTTAAAATTTTTGAATATTACAATAAGTATACCAATAATATAAGAAATATACATTTTCAACTGCACAATATAAACTACTATCTAAATGTTTTAAACAATGATAAGATTTGAATATATTTTTTAATCGATCAAATGCTGGACATCTTTCTATATATAAATCAATTATTTCATTATCTAAAAACTTTTCTAACCATTGCTTCTTTTCTGCCCCATTAACAGCAACAATTTCTGAACACACGTGTTTTTTAATAAAACTTGAAATATCTTCATACGGTAAACATTTTTCTTCTCCATATAAAACATCAAATTCTAAACCATGGAAATTGCAAGTTATCCAATCCATATGATCTCTAACTTTTGAATTGTACTGTTTCAATTCAAATGGATAACTTATAAATTTATGTGCAGCCAAATGTCCATTGTCATTAACGTTGACTATTGCCAATTCTTTACAAATAAAATTTCCCGATCCATACTGAAAGCCTTGTACATCAATAATAAACATTTTCAATAGCGATGCAGATATGTCTATTTGCTTCGACTGACTACGAGCGACTGAATATTTTAATTATTAGAGTACTCTTATGGTACTAGTTAATGGGTTGTACTTTACTAATTTATCATGTAAAATTAGGCAATATGCAGTAGTCTTGGCAGGGATTGCTTCACTTGTTTCAAACTCAATACGAATATCGACTGCACCACCCTTTAAAATATCCTCTCCTTGACGTGAACAATCAATGACCACCAGAGGGGCATTGTTCTTGAATAGAACGGGATAGTAGGTTGGTTCACTAAACGCTTTATAGTAGTATGATTTTTGGAACTGAGTATACATTTCATATAGGACTGCATATCTATTATTAGTAAAATCTATATTTAAATTGTCATAAGGATATACTTCTGAGTTTAAATATACTTTTAAATTGGTCAAGTTACAGTGTTGAAATCGACTCATATTTTTGTTATATGATTTTTACATCTGTTTGAAATCCAATAATAATATAACGAGGTTTTTCCAACTGATTACTCGATTTAACAGCCCATGTATGGTTTTTTAGTTTGTTGCAATTCTGGATATTCATGCAGTTCCCAACTCCTAAAGGCAATCGGTAAATCTCTGTTGTTTTCAAAATTTTTTAGTAATCGTAATTTTTGACTATCATTAACTGATATATGAGGCATTTTCCACAACACTTTATTCAAAGTGATCTTATAGCTATCCTTTGTTTCATTAGCTGAATGAATGGCATTAAAATCAGAATTATTTCGTATGAGGACTAGTTCTTGTTTTACATTCATTACAATTTTAGGATAGTCTTCAGCAAAACCCATCAGCATTTTCAATGGTATGCAAACATTAAAATTTCCATTGCCATCGATTAATGATGGATTCTTTGTATCATGCCACCCGGCGTTATGTAAACCGTTAGCCTCTGTAGGAGTAAATGAAATATAACCTTTCATAGTTGATGTAACTTCAGGATTTCTAACTCTATCAACAATTACTCCTCCCATTTCATACCGAATTTCATCAAACAAAAAAGCAACACCATTATTCACAAATTGTACATCAGCACTTGCTGTGTTGTCAGATTTTGTTAATTTTCCTTCAATATAGAGGTAACTCTGACTTGGTAAAGTATACAGATCTTGAGTTTGTATTGGGATTCTAATTTCATCGTTGTTGTTCAAGGTTGTAGATGAATAGGGTTGGTGAGTGTGATACTGATAGCTCACTATTGAATCATCTTGTGTAACACTTTCATTAACTTTTAAGATGTTATAACTCATCTTTACTGGTACACTTGAATTTACAATTACAAAAAACTAAAAAATCAGTTAAACTAGTTCTAAGACGTAGCTTCAAGTTTACCCAAAATTTCCTAACTTTCTTAATTTTGAAGTCGACACTTCTTTTTCAATTTAAATCCTAATGATTGTAGAAATTCTTGATTGGAACGTGTTAATCTTTTTAACTGATTCTTACTACTGAACCGCCTCTGAAAACTCTTTTGCTTTATATACATTTCATTGGACGGTGTATAAGAATCATTATTATAGATAAATACCATTATGTTTCTTTAGATGTAAACGTACCGTTACCAGCTCGTTTCTAAAATTGATCAGTCTTCCATCTTGATCTGTTATTTTAAGAATAATTTCGTCAACATAGCGCATGCTGATTGGTAAATATATTACATTTGATGATTTTTCAACGATTTTAAATCCTGGAGGGGTGGTAGGATAGAACATATGAATAATATGAACCGGTTTTCCATTGTTATATGAATTTGTTACAAGGTTACATTCTATCGCTATGCAGTTCACTTTAAAAATATCAACAGGGTTCTTTGAAATGTGTATCTGGTTCTCTTCTAATATTTGGTTACTAAAGCCCAATAGACTTCCAATGGAGTTTTCCTTTGAAAAATCAACAGCTTTATTACATTTAAGTTCACACTGTAACGTATTATGATTTGCCTGTATAGAAATATCCACTTTCTCTTCTTTTGAATTTTGCTTAAACCATTCTTGCAAATAACGATTTATATCTTGAATTTCATAAGATCCTTCCGGTAAAACAATCTTTTTATTATCATAATAAAAAATATTATTGGTACTATCAATATTCGGAATGGAATTATAACTTTCAAAATTTATTAATCCTAATACATATTCATCATTTTCACTGAGAACAATAGGTGGATATATTCTTGCAGAAAGTGTGGATTCTTTGCCTGATAAAGTAAACGTGTATGACATTGTAGAAGGTTGATAAAATAATAAAACTCTAAATATCTAAGTGTAACTATTTATTAGAAATTTTAAACATAACTGACCACAATTTACAGTATTATAAGTTTGATAAGGTGTATGGTTATAAAATATGTTACAAAGTCCTTTAGATTTAAAATATATTTACAAGTTCTAGCGGAGGAGTTAAATTACCATAGCTATCAAAATAGTAAATATTCCTATTTATTTTTCGATATGCAGTCCAATGAGTTCCAGCTCCTGACATATTGTCAAGATTAACTATTCCAGATTCAAATTTACGAATTTTTGTGGTAGACAATCTTTCATAAATACACCTCGAAAATGTGCCACTTTCAATTTTTAGCATATGTTGTTAATTCGAAATTATTAAGAGCATGTTTAGGTAATGTTAAGGTTGGTTTTTGATTTGAAACCTCGATGTAAAAAAACCCCAATCCAGTCTTGTATGGTTTTAAGTACAATCCTTTTCCCATTGCAACAGCTTCCATAGTTCTGTTGTGACGTTGTGCTTCGCTGAGTTGTTCTTTTGCTGCCTTAGTTTCTTTTACGGCTTTTACAACATTTGCGATTCCACCGCTTAGAGCACCTAATGCACTAAGACCAGCAAAAATTGGTATCAATGGTAGAATACCTCCAGTTTTAGGAATTTTTATAACACGTGGTGTCTTAATAATATCTCCATTGTTTCTAATGGTAGCTGTTTTTAATCCTATTTTTAAGGCACTTTCAAGATTTGTAGGTTGTTGTTTCCGTATAGCCCTTTTAATAGCACTCGTTACCGATTGAAAAGATTTACCATTTTTGTTTTTCTGCTCTCTTCTCTTTTATAACCTTCCTACTTTTAGATTTTATAGACTTAATTTTAGGTTTTTTATTGTTTCACTCTTCGTTGTCTTTGTCATCTTGCTGCTATTTTTCAATTAAGTTAGTAATAGATTTGTAACACTTTATATATATTATGTAAGTTTGTAGCACTTTATATATATTTAGATCTTTTAACATAATCATTCTCATCATCATTATCATGAACTATTGTATCATATGAACGTTTTAAACTTATTCTCTTTGCTTTTTTATTAGTATTTTGATTTACATCATCATCAGCATCATTTAATTGTCTTTTGGTACCTTGTATTGATAGGGCTGAGAATAAATGATTTTCATTTTCATTGTGAATTTTAGGTTTTTGTCTATTTATATTTAAATCCATTTCATGATCATCATCCTCGAAAATTCTACGTTTTTACCTTTTTTACAATTTCAGTCAACGGTTCTTGCTTTTTTTTTCTTTACTTTGTACATTATCGCTTCTCTTAATTTTGCGTTGAATTTTCTTTTCATGATAATTATAAATAGGAAGCTCTTGATTTTTATTTAAATCATCAACATTGTCATCTTCATTATCATAACACTTACTCTTTTTTATTTCAAATTTACGATTTTTACTTCTATCTAATTTCACTCGAACAATTTTATCTTTACAGCTTTTATTCTTTTGTTTACTTTGTTTTTTTGTAATTGTATTTTTAGTCTTTTGCTGTAACAATTTTCGATGTTTATCTTTCAATAGTAATATTATGTGTCAATTTATTCAATCCCATACCCAACTTTAACTTGGTGTGCATTGCAGCTGAAACACCTAATGCTGCTAGTTTTTCTTTCCATGAAGCATCGTTTAAAGTAGTTCTACTTAGAGCTGCTTTAAGTAATGTTTTATCAGCCTCATGACGATCAGATAAATCTTTTCTCTCTGAATATGCTATATCATGTTCTTTACACGCCTCGTCTAACATGTTAACACCTTTGTCACCGCGTTCTAAACGTTCACTCAATTTAGTTCCTGGTCCACAGTAATTATATCCCGGTAAATGTAACTCAAATGGTAATTTGTTTATTAAAGTGTTTATAACACCACTACCAGTATGTTGCTGCTGCTTTATATAATATTTCATGACTGCTTTCTAATCTTAAACTAAGTATAAATTATATAATGATCAATTTTTATAACCATTTTTAGTAAACTTTGTAATCATGAAGAAGGTTGTTAAGCAAAAGACTACTTTGAAGATTGATAATCATGATATGGCTACAAGCGAACCTTTGAAACATAGCATTTTATTTCCTTCGACTATGC